ATAATTTTTTTAGAGATCCGTATCAACTTTAATAGTAATCTTTTGAGGTCTTACACAGATAGGCGGAGGAAGTCCTATCGCATTGCGTATGGGAGCTCCGTGCGCCAAAGGTTTCAATGGGGTCGCATTTGAACCGACGGTGGTCATTCAAAAGGGGAATTCGCGCGGGGCATAGACCTGTAACCCTCTCTCCCTCGCGCATGCGTAGCCCTGCAAATCTCCCTCGCGTGAACGCTACCTACTACGTCAAGCCTCTCTCCCTCGCCTGGTATTCAAAAGGGAAAATCTCTCTCTCTCTAGAAACTCAGCAATTATCCAGAGCTCTCTTTCTCTCGCAGCTCACCAAATATCCAGAGCTCTCTCTTTCTAGAAGCTCAGCAAATATCCAAAGCTCTCTCTCTCTCTAGAAGCTCAGCAAATATCCAGAGCTGTCTCTCTAGAAGCTCAGCAAATACCCAGAGCCTCTTTCCTCTTCAAAGTTCAAAGCTCAGCAAATATGCAGGTAGTCTTCGAATCTCTTCTCTCTCTCTCTCTCTCTCATTCATTTGGACGTCCGAGCTAGAAACCCCCAAAAAAAACTTCGTTGAATCTCCATTGAAGCCAATCAATAAAAAAGCTCAGGTATTGTGTATTTTTGGATTTGGGGTTCAATGGAGCTGATTAAGCTGAAATTTTTAACACTTAAGCTGTTTGCATCTGTATTTTTGGGTTTTTTGCTTTGAAAACCCTATGATGGGATCCTAGGTCTGATACATTCAAATTGCATGCATCTCACGGTGATTATTGCGTGTTTTATTTTCTCCCACTAGTATGTATTATATGTGAAATTGGGTAGACCTTGGGTGGCAGGCTTGCGCAATCTGGAGAGTATAAATTTGTCATTTACTCAAATTACTGATAGCGGTTTGAGAAGGCTCTCTGGTAGTATAAACCTTCTTGAGCTCTTAGAAGGGGGGAACGCTCTTTAAGCTCATCAATGTCGATTTTGTGGTTTTTTGAGCTAAAAAAAAAAAGAACCACCACCCAAAAATCCAACAGTGAGAATTTCTTTGAAAAAACCAATGATTTATAAATGAATTAAAATAATTATTTTCTTTTGAATATATATAATGAAGAACCAAGAAAACCCCTCTCTTGCTCGCTGTCACAGAGGTACGAATAGACCGTTGGCGCACGGAGTTCCGACCGTCGGTTCAAATGCAATTTCTGTAAGGCCTAGGCCACATAAAAAAAGTAAAGATTTACTTTAAAACCTTGTCTCAAAAACACTTCAGGCGTAAAAAATTCCCATGGTGACTCTAAAATCTATTTTTCTACTGTCAATTATAAAATTTGTAGCACAAAAAATGATATCCGTGAACACTTTAAAATGGATAATATGTTATAATATATACTACGTTTAGAACTTGGAATCCTGATTTTTTTACAAAAATAATAGTTAAGGTTGTTAAGGTTTAATTGTTAAGAGAGAGACTGAAACTGTCTTAAAAAGTGTTGTGTAGGGCATATTTTCATGTTTTGCCTTCAACAGTAATTATGTCTAATATATATATATATATATATATTAATTTGTAAATCGTTGGTGTGTTAAATGAATGAGTACCAGCGTACTCTGTCCTCTAATTTTATAGGGTTTTGTATTCTATCATGGTATTAGAGCTTTTGATCCTCCACTTCTCTCTACTTCTGTCAACGGGGATGTAATCGGCAAGGGCTTCATTTATCTCTCTCATCTTCTCTACTCTCATTTAGATCTATTTTCTCTCTCTATATTTGTTCGTGGATTTTCTTACTGCAATTAGTATTTATTTTGTCCTCTTTTTTCAAAAGCTTTGCATTGTCCTCATCTCTTGGTCTTTTGCTCCATATCCCATTGGTTTGTCTTCATCTCTTGGTCTTACATATAACATTAGAGGTGTACATTGAATATCATTTGCAAATTGAAAATAATGTCATCTTCTTATCGTTTTTACCTGAAAGGTGTAAACTTCTACCAACTCTATGCCGAACTACTCTCTGCGAAGCCAAACCTGAGTTTGGCAACCTTTGTGCTGAACTGCCCTCGGTTAAGTCAAACCAAAATTCAGCACTCCCACCTACCGAAGTAGGTTCTATCTTCCCTAAAAACTTTGGCAATTGTGGTGCCGAAGTAATCACTATCATTCCTCATAATTGTGTCTCTTCTAGTGAGCACATTATTTCCCAACCTCCAAGTCAAGTAGTTCCTTTTTTTTAACTATGGCCTCTCTAAGCTTTCCATCCTTCATCTCCATTAAACTCAATAGAGACAACTACCTCAAATGGAAAGCCCAAGTTTTAAATTGCATTGAAAGCTTGAATCTTGAAAGTCATATTGATGGGTCAAGTCGGCCACAAAATGAATATATTTATGAGGAATTAAAAGAAAATCAAGGCACCAATCCAAAACCATCAAAGGACCCTAAATTTTTGGAACGACAAATGAAAGATAAAACACTATTGAATTGGTTATTTTCTACTCCCTCTGATGATCTGCTTACTGAAGTGATGCACCTAAAGATAGCTCAAGAAGTGTGGTTGACACTTTACAATACGTATCAAAGGGAAACATTTACCAATTTTCTTCAATTTAAAAACAAAATTGATTAACTTACAAAGGGGTTTTCAATTAGTGACTAAATGGCTAAACAAGTTCAAAACTATATGTGACCACCTTGTTGCAATTGGTAGTCCAATAAATGATCCAGATATGGTCCTCTATATTATCAAAGGTCTTGGTTCAGAGTTTAAGTCCTTTGAGACCTCCCTGATGACTAGACCTCTATTCCCCTCCTTTTCAGAGCTGCGATCTGCTCTCCTCACATATGAAGCTTGGTTTGTATCTTTATCGGTTGTTGAAAGTAATCATCAAGCTTTAGTGAACACATCACCAAGGCACACAGGGGATATTGTCGAGGACGTGGCTGTTATGAAGGTAGAAGAAGTGGAGATCGTAACCAATATCAATAAGGTATTCTTGGAGCAAATCCATCTTACCATCAACCTCCTCAGTAAAGGAGTATGCCACCTCGAGTAACTTGCCAGTATTGTGGAATACATGAACATATTGCTAAAAACTGTTGGGACAGTAAAACTGCCCTATCGTCCCACGATGTGCTAGAGCATAATTTCAGTAATCTCTCAGCCACTGTCCCAACAGATCGTTCCTGGGTTATGGACTCTGGTGCAACTGTTCATATGATAGATGACAACTTTCAACTTCGAGGTATGATTCCTTACCATGCCCCTTGCATGGTATTTACTAGAGATGGTACTGCCTTACTTATAACCCATATTGGAACTGTGTCTATTTCTACTACTTTTGGTATCCCTAATGTTTTACTTGTTCCCAAACTAAAGAAACAACTCATGTATGTATCTCAATTTGCTAAATAAATTTGCTAAATATTTGAAGTGTTGTTTTGATTTTACTCCTCTTGGTTGTGTTGTGAAGGATCTACAAAGTAGGAAGGTGATTGCTGAGGGTGTATGTGCTTCAAAATGATAAACTTTACGATCTAGCTACAATTACCTCCAAAGCTAGACGATGAGCTTTTATTTTGTGGCATGAGCGCTTAGGTCATCCTAATTTCACTACTGTCAGTCGTCTTGGAAGAGAGTTATCTCTATGGAAGAGAGTTATTTCTACCTAATTTTGTTAATGACCTATCTCATGGTTCATTATGTCTTCTTATTAGTTAGGAAAATAACCTGAGTCTACACTTGACTCATCAAATAAAAAATCTAATAGTCATCTTTATTTAATTCATAGTGATGTTTGGGGTCTAGTCCCAATTACTTCCATATTTTGTTATAGAGTTTATGTTATTTTTGTGAATGAGTATGCTCGATATATTTAGATATATTTCTTGAAACAAAAATATAATGTGTTTAATTGTTTTGTTAAATTTCACACCTATGCTGAGCATTAATTTGCTTGTAAACTCATGGCCTTTAGGTTTGTTGGAGGAGGTGAATTCACCTCTTATGGTTTAAAGAATATTTGAGTCTGCATAGAATCCATCATCAATGCTCATATCCATGCCCTCCAACACAAAATGGTGTTGCTGAGTGCAAGCGTTGTCGTATTGTTGAGAGTAGGCTTTTCATGATGTATGCTAGTGGCCTATTACAATTCCTTTGGCCATAAGGCTTTTCCATTGCTATGTATCTCATTCACAGATTGTCAAGCTCTACATTATCTTTCATATCTCCATTCCAAAAGATTTTTTGTAGTAAACTAGATTACTTTTTTTTTCGTGTCTTTGGTTGTGTACGTTTCCCACATATTCACTCTTCTCAAATAAATAAATTTCATTCTAAGGATCATGAGTGTGGGTTTGTTGGCTACAGCTCAGAATATAAAGGTTATCGATGTTATGACAAACTGTCAAGATGCTTCTTTATTGCAAAATATGTAACATTTGATGATTGCTTCTTTATTGTAAAATATGAAACATTTGATGAAACTAAGTTTTACTTTAAAAACCAGTGTTCGCTAACTAACACAAGTCATGGCATGCCAAATAATGTGTTTGTACTTATTTCACAGCTTTTTTAATTACAGGAAAAAACACACTTGCAAGCTCTTATCTCTTCTGAAGTTATAGATAAACCATCTCAGCCACATCACCCTCATAAGTCATCTCGTTACTCTGATAGGTCTGATCTACAACCTATTTTCTCAGCAAACACTTCACCACCACCTTCCCGCTCTCATACTCCAAACTTGGATGCGTCTCTCACTATACCACATGATTTACCTAAAAGACCTTTAGATGTTTCACCTATACCCCTACGCCGTACGTTTCGCTCATCATAACCTCCTAAGCATCTTTTACACTATCAGGCGTACTCTGCAACCATTCCCTCTCGTGACATTAACTAAGTCCATAAAAACAAAATACCCTATTGAAAACTTTACCTCAAAGAGATTTTCTCCCAATCTTCAAGCATTTGCAACACGAGTTTCTCAAATTCCAAAACCAACCACCTATGCAGAAGCTGCCTCTAACACTGTTGCCTCTGACACTAGGTGACTGATCTCAATGAAAGAAGAGATTGATGCACTTAAAAGGAATCATACTTAGGAATTAGTGTCATTACCTCTAGGCAAAATTGTTGTGGGCTCAAACTACGTGTACAAAGTTATGGTCCAATGAGAATGACTCAGTTGAAAGGTTGAAGTCTAGACTAGTGGTCAAGGGGTTTAGTCAGGAATATAAAATTGATTATGATGAAACCTTCAGTTCAGTTGTGAAGGCGCCCACTATTCGATGCATCCTGGCTCTATCATTTATGTTTAATTGGAAACTCCATCAACTTGATATCAAAAATGCATTCCTTCATGCCGATTTGAAAGAAGAATTGTATATTCAACAATCCAAAGGACTTGAAGATCCCTTACAACCTCATTATGTCTGCAAATTGAAAAGGACTATCTATGGACTCAAGCAAGCTCCTTGGGCATGGTCAGTTGTCTACTCCATCGTGTTGGTTTTCAAAGAAGCAAAGTTGACTGCTCCCTATTTTTAAAAAGATCATCCTCAGGTATTATCCTTCTTCTGTTCTATGTGGATGACATTATTTTTACTGGAATTGATAATCAAGGCATTAAGCATATTAAGAAAAACTTAAAATTGGACTTTGAGATGAAAGTTCTTAGAGAATTGAAATATTGTTTGGGTATTGAAATTCATCGAATAGTGAAAGGCATTGTTCTCACCCAACATAAATGTATTTTTTACTTACTCTCTAAAACATGGATGTTCGGATGCAAGCCTATTTCAACTCAGCTGAAGTAAATAGCAAGTTAAGGACTGAAGAAGGGGAATTGTTATCTAATCATTCCTTGTACGGAAGTGTAGTTGGTAGCTTTCAATATTTCACATTCGCATGCCTTGATATTATTTATGCAGTAAATACAGTATGTCAGGTCATGTAGGCACCCCGATAACTCATTGGGAAGCCACAAAAAGGATTTCGATGTATTTAAAGGGTTTTATACATTATGGTTTATTTTATACTTCCTCTAGTCCACCTGACCTCAAAGCGTACTCTGATGTTTTTTGGGTAGGGTGCCTTTGTTCCTTTGCCTCATCAACTAGTAAACATGTTTACTAAACCTTTGACAAGGCTAAGACACCACGAGTCCACAAACATGCTCTCAATGCACAAGATGTATGCTCGGCTTGAGGGGATGTTAAGAAAGATTGAAACTGTCTTTAGTAATATTGCATAGAGCATTCTTTCATTCCTTACTCTCAAGAGTAATTATGTCTACTCTATATATATATACACTAAGTTGTAAATCGTTGGTGTGTTGAATGAATGAATACAAGTCTCTTTCTCTCTCGGGTTTTCATATTCTATCATTTATGTCCCCAAAACTGAATGAATACAAGTCTCTTTCTCTCTCGGGTTTTCATATTCTATCATTTATGTCCCTAAAACTGCAATTTTGGATGTGTTTGTAGTAAGGCTTTATTTTTTTTCCACGAGGCCTAAGCTTTATTTGAACGAGTTCCAAAAAGGAAATACATAGATGTCTGCATGCAGTACACATGATTACATGAAGGAAAAAATTTATATAAAGTTGCAATTAGAATTAAGGTGTATCTCAAAAATCCATTAAAAAAAATGCTATTTTGATGTTGAAAACCCTTTAATTGATCATCTCGACATCAGGATATATAAATATGAAATAAAAAAAACGATTTTGAGTCCCAATAATAGTACGAGTAATGATCCTATGAGACCCTCTCACACCCATGTGTGTAGGATTTCAAAAGATCATCATTAAATTTAACACAAATTTCTAAAAAACGTTATCAAATGGGTATGAGACGCTATTAAATTTAGCACAGATCTCTAAAAACGTTGTCAAATGGGTATGGGACTTCACTTTTCTAGAGATCTATGCCAAATTTAATAGTGATCCTTTGATGTCCTACAAACATAGGTGTGGGAGGGTCTCAAGGTCATTTTCCTAATAGTGCATCTTGCAACGCATTATCTCGACCGTCCATTTTCAAGATTTTCATGTGTTTCTAGACCATATTTAAAGTTTAAAATTTATACTTAAATGAAAATGGATTCTCGTGCCATCCTAATAATTTTTTATATCTAAATTATACCTTATCTTAAAATTTGAAGGTACGCATTAAGTTAATTGTTTGAGGTTGCAACCTTATGCAAACCACACCATTACATGAATCCCTCTTACTACAGTTATTTATGCTCCCATCGTATACAAACCCAAGTGTGAGTACAAAGTCCACATACTCCGCAGCCATCCAACCCTATCTCGCCTGTGAAATTGTGAACAGAAGAACTACTCTCTCTCCCTCCCCCTGTGAATACAAGAACTGTTCTCTCTCTCCATGTGAATAAAGATACTACTCTCCCCTCTCTCTCTCTCTATGAATAGTAAAACCGCTCTCTCTCCCTCATTGTGATTCATTAGAATGAGCGAGTACTGGTAGTACACATGGTGGGTAGCGTTCAATTGCTGCAAGTTGAGCCACCAACTTCCCCAAATCGCCAACCTCAACCACCAGACCACTCCTCCCTCTCTGCACCCGGCCATTCACCCACCACTCTCTCTCTACAAAGAGGCAAGCAACTCCACGCCCTCCTCTGCAAGCAACCCCAACTCATTTCCCCCCATGACCGTCTCCAACTTCTCTCTCTCTATGCTCGCCATGGCGCTCTTCGAGAGGCCGAGCTCGCCTTTCTCACGACACCACACAACCACAGCAATAGCTCCTTCTCTTGGAACCTCATTATTCGTGCCTTTACGTCGAGTGGCTTCTACTCTGATGTTCTCAATATCTTTGTTGAAATGCTTGAGTCCAATTCACTACCAAATCGATTCACCCTGCCCTTTGTTTTCAAGTCTTGCGCTGTTCTCCAATGCCTTGGCCCTGTTAGAGATATACACACATTGGTTTTCAAGGCCGACTGCCAATTTGATGTCTATGTTTGCAGCTCTTTGATCGACGCCTATGCGAAGTGTGGAAGAGTTTGTGAAGCTCGTCGAGTGTTTGATAGAATGGGTGAAAGGAACATTGTTACTTGGAATTCCATGATTGCCAGTTATGCGAGAAACGGCTTTCTGGAAGAGGCAATGTGTTTGCTTTATGAGATGAGTAGGGAATTTGGGGCTTCTGTGAGTTCTTGGAATTCTCTGATTGCTGGTTGTTCTGAGGCCAATGCTGAGCTTGTGCTTGAATGCTTCGCTTTGATGAGCTCAGCTTCGGTGAAACCCAATCTTAACACGCTCAATACCATCCTCCCTTTGTTACCCACTTTTGCTTCTTTGGACCATTGTCGTGAAATCCATTGTTTTGTGATCAGGAATGGCATCCCAGATCATGGCATTGTGTCTGTGCTTGTCATCCTCTATGCCCACCATTGCTGCATGGACTGTGCATTACGAGTGTTCGAAGACATTCAGTTGAAAAGCACAGCTGTATGGAACACAATGATAGCTGGATTTGTTGATATCAATAGGCTTGACCAAGCTTTCGAAATGGTTAGAGAGATGAAGAGGCTTAGTAGTGAGAGGCCTGATAGGTCGACCCTCACTCTGCTTCTTCCTGAATTGCATCGCCTAGGCACGCAGGCTAGCAAGCTCGGTGACTGCATCCATGCCTATACTTATCGTAATGGTTTGGAGTTGGACACATCAGTGTTCAATGCTTTGGTTGCCATGTATGGAAGGAGCAGGCGCATAGAGATCTCCAGAAAAGTTTTTGAGAGAACTCAAGGGAAGGACATTGTTTCTTGGAACACCATGCTCTCAAATTATGTAAATAGTGGATATTTCAATCAAGCTTTCCACCTCTTCTCCCGAATGCACACTGAGGATGCAAGGCCTGATGAGTTCACAATTCCATCAGTTCTTCAGTCATGTGGACACTTTGCATCAGTCCAAGGAGGTTCCTCTGTCCATGCCTATGCCTTCAAGGGAGGGTTTATAGACGACTTGTGCGTAGAGAACTCCCTCATAGATATGTATGGGAAATGTGGGTTCGTTGAGTTTGCAGAAAAGGTGTTTAGAGAGATGCGACAAAGAGATTTTGTGTCATGGAATGCCATGATCTCTTGTTATGCCGCTAATAAGCATCCCAATGAGACCCTCTCACTCTTTGAAAGCATGCAAAACCAAGGCTGGAGACCAAATGGGGTGACCTTTGTTGCCATCTTATCAGCATGTAGCCGTGGCGGTTTCGTTGATCAGAGCTTGGAGTACTTGGCCTTGATGAGTAGCAAGTATGGCATTGAACCAGATATTGAGCACTATGCTTGTGTGGTCGATGCCTTAGGCCGTTCAGGTCAGCTTGATGAGGCATACGAGCTTATCATGAGTATGCCCATGGAGCCTGACGATTGCGTTTGGGGTGCATTACTTGGTGCCTGTAGAATTCATGAGAACGTTGACCTAGCTGAAATAGCAGCGAGGCATCTGATAGAGTTGCAGCCTGAGCATCCTGGGTATTATGTACTGCTTTCGAATATCTATGCAGATGCTGAGAGGTGGGGAGATGTCGCGAGGGTTAGGGCAGCTATGAAAGAGAGGGGAGTGAAGAAGTACCCTGGTTGTAGTTGGATTGAGTTCGACGATGGTGTCCATATGTTTGTAAATGCAGACAAATCCCATCCACAATTCGCTGAAGTATATTCCACCTTGAATTGGTTGAGTGCACATTTGAGAACCGCAGGTTATGTGCCTGTTATGGACTTTCATTTGCAGGATGCTTAAGAGAACGAAACAATGGATTCCTTTCTTCTTGTACGCTAAAGGCCTCAAATCAATTAACTGCACATTTGAGAATAGTGGGTCTTTATTCCTGTTACAGACTTCAAGTGTGGGGATGTTAAGAGAATGCTGCTATGGAGTCTGTACTTTGTGTAAACTGGTGCCACAATAAAATAATTAGCCTTTACCATTGGTTGATAATGTAGGGACATATACTGGACCATCAATCAAGTGATGGCACATTTGGGACATAATGTGCTGTATCATTGTTATGGACTTTGTCTTGCAGCATGTTAAAGGGTGTGATCCAATGAGTCCAATGAGTAATCCAATTAAATAATTAGACCCCATGGGTGAATGACTAGCAAATGTATGTTATCAGTAGAGGACAAATGCAACTTGCAGATGTTAAATTCAGAAAATATAGACTGCAAAAGAACTAAAACCCAAGTTGTAAAGGCAAAGAAGAAATTGTAAGATGCTCTATGAAAAACTGTCCAAGAAATACATTTTTGGCATGACAACATATTGATATATCTCACTGTCAGTGAAGCCTACTGATAAGGATCCTTCGCTCTCATTCATCAAGGCATAGCCATAGCAAGTTGTGCATCACGCTGAGAAAACATTGTTGACGTTCATAATTGAAAGGCCAGTGGTAGGGGAAACTCTTTGGAAGATGAATATGGCTTCTTCACAGGACATGTAGATCCCCATGGGCTGATGAGAGGTACTGCCACCTCTAATTGTGGTTGAACTGGTTTTCCAGTATTCAAATCAACTTGGCCGAGGTACTCGGGCCTTGGTCAAGGCGATTTACTCGGACAAGTCTGAGTAACTTGCTCTAGTCTAATTCATTTTTTTTAAGAAAAAGAAGATAAAATCCAGTTATATATATTATAAATCCCACATTCTTATCATCAAGCAAGACTTGCCATGTTGGATATTTTTTTCCCCCTAAATAGGCCACTTTGCAAGAGGTCTAGACCTCTATTCAGGTGGGAGGCTAATTTTTTTTTTAAAACTCCAAAAAAAGAACGTTTTTAAAAGCGGGAAAAATTGGCTACTATGGGGATTAGAACCTAGCAGAGTTGAACTTTAGGTGGTATTATTAACCAAAATGACACTTCAATGCATCTAATTTAGATGTGATGTATTAATATAATTAAACTAAAAAAAATATAATGTACAACCAACTTGCCTAAAACTCGCTTCGCCCATAGAGTGAGGCCGAGTTGCCTCGGTTGAGTCTTAGGATCATGACATCGTGTCTGTGCCTCAATCGAGTTTCAGGCAACTCAAACTTGCCCTATGGGCTAGGCGAGTTTTGGGCGAGTTGGTTGGACATCATATTTTATTTAGTTTAATTATATTAATACATCACATCTATATCACATGCGTGGAAATGTCTTTTTGGTTAGTACTACCACCTAAAGTTCAACCCTGCGAGGTTCGAATCCCCATAGTAAGCCACCTTTTCCCACTTTTAAAAAACTCATTTTTTTGGAATTTTAAATCCCCATAATAAGCCACCTTTTCCCACTTTTAAAAAAGTCATTTTTTTGGAGTTTTAAAAAAATCACATGCATTGAAATTTCTTTTTGGTTTAGTACTACCCACCTAAAGTTCAACCCTACCGGGTTCCACCTTTTCTCGCTTTTAAAAACATCCTTTTTTTTATAACCTCGCCCGAATGGAGGTCTAGACCTCTTGCAAAGTGGCCTTTTTACAAGGAAAGCCATAACTAACACAACAATTGTTGCTTGATGATAAGAATGTGAGATTTATAATATATATAATTGGTTTTTATCTTCTGTCACTTGAAAAAAAAAAAAACAAGAAGACTCGGACGAGTTACTCGGACTCACCGCCTCGGCCAGGGCCCGATTACCTTGGCCAAGTCGATTATTTGAACACTGATTTAAACTGAATGTGGGAACCTAGCTATTTAGTTGGTCCTTGAGGACATTGGTGTATTGTTTATTGTTTGAAAAAATAAGTGACTTCATATGTTTACTATAAGAAGATGTCTGTCACTTAAAAAAAAAAAAAAAAACAAGAACTCGGACGAGTTACTCGGACTCACCGCCTCAGCCAGAGCCCGATTACCTTGGCCAAGTCGATTATTTGAACGCTGATTAAAACTGAATGTGGGAGCCTAGCTATTTAGTTGGTACTTGAGGACATTGGTGTATTGTTTATTGTTTGAAAAAATAAGTGACTTCATATGTATACTATAAGAAGATGTACAAGTATTTGTATAATGAAATCGAACCCCAAACAGGGGCGCAAAAATCTCAATCAGATCCCAGAAAACCAGAGTAAAGCTTTATACAAGAAAGCTTTACACATAGTAACCGTGAAGAAGCATGCATACAGACAGTGAAGGTATTGCTGGCTGGTGAGGGCATCGGCCTTTGAATTCGAATTGTGCCAGGAATGGTTAAAGGATAGGAAAAGGTAGTCCAACGAAGCATCCACTTGATTGAAGAGTTGTTTCAAGTACTGGCCCATCAAATGAAACTCAAGCAGTCGCTTTCAATTTGAAGCGAGGAACCACATCTGCAGTCTTAGAGTTTCAGGCCCTTAATAAGGGTCCTTGCCTGAGCCATTGTGGAATCAATATTTCCAATGAAGCCTAAAAATGATATAAATGCCAGTATTATTTCTAAGCAAGCCCCGAAATCCTGATCTGCTTGAATTGCTTAGGAGGCAACCATCAAAATTCAGTTTAATGAGCCCATGGAGAGCCTTCCAGGTGCTGACTTGATTATGAGCCCAGAAAATCCTATGGTGATGAACCCAAAACATCACAATGGCCTTAAACTTAGTTTTGCGAGGCTTGTATACCCATTTCTCTACCCTGAAAACTTTTTAACTTCCAAAAGAGCAACCACGCCATGAGAATTGGGGGAGAACCCCCCCGGGTAGGGGGGGGAGATGGTTGGACATCACTTAAACGGGCCAAAAATATAATTCCAAAATTGTATTGCCCCTGAGCAGTGTAGGAACAAGGGATCTATGGATTCCTCCTCTTCACCTACTAGTTTTACGGCCATACTCTTCTTTGGAGTTGATTATATCATGATTGCTCTAAACCAGTTAAATGCTTGAAACTTCAGGGGCCCAATAACAAATGGTAGGGACACTGTTTGACAGGATAGAAATAAAGTACATGGAGGAGACTAAGAAGTGCCTTGATGACACCGGGGGCTATGCTAGCTTGTCAAGAACCTGGGGATGTCGAGGTTTCAAGAAACAGAGCCAAAAGGGAGATTTCCATGTCCCTAAATTCTCCCAAACCTATGGAATACTCTCAATGTGAGTGAGAGTGTGCTCTATTTAGGTAACTAGAACAAGGCATGAGTTGGGAGCCAACTCTATTTGGGATGTAGTGGTACCGTCCCTCTAGCCTTGCCGTATGACCAGGCCTTATCTTGGAAAACTGATCCACAGCTTGGGCTAGAAAGGTTTAGTCTATATGATGTGCATTCCCAAAAAAAGGCCCACCAGTGCTCTATCGAAATCGGAATACCCTAGTGGTGAATGCTTAGCTATGAAATATAGATACACCTCTTGCGGTTTGACTGTGTGTCGACACTTGGTAGACACTCACACGCTATAGACACTTGTGGACATGCATACGACACCTCTATTAAGTGTCCGCTACCATGTTTCTTTTTCAGATTTTTTTTTTTTATATTGAGGTATCTTTTTTTTATATATATAAACTTCATTTTTCATTGAAGAATATTTTATTTTAAAACTAATAAATAATTTAAAATAAAAATAAAAAATATTTCTATTCGTTAAATTAGGGTTTCCATAAGCTATTGGTACTATAAATTAAAAATACAATCTATTACAACTACCATGAAACTGTTTAGGGCTTTTACCTCCCTAACTAGTTTCTGCCTTTGCAAGCTATAGACCATTGGTTTCTTCTTTTCCAAACTATAGACTACTGGATATTTATATTTCTTCAACTTTTTTGCTCTTTTATTTTCCTTGTTCCTTGCTCCCTGTAAGATCTTTGTTGTTCCATCTTTTTTGCAATTAATAATATGAATTGCATTATATATTGCCTTGTCCTATCAATTGACTCTATTAGTTTTGAAAGCTTGGATTTTGGATGAATACATTAGGACTCTTTTCAATATCCACACAATAAAGGTGCTACATTTTGATTTAATAATTAGGTAATATTTTGTGGTTTTTTTTTTTTTTTTAATATCATGACAATGCAACCCTGAATTGGTCTTTAAGAAATTTTAATGAATAAAATTTAGATTCACAAAATAACATTTTGGAACTATTAGTTTAATTATATTTATTTTTTGGATGCTTTACTATTGGTATATGACATGAAAATTTGCATGTGTAAATGCATATGTGAACTACACAGGTTTTAAGATATGTATATATAAAAGTATGCATTTATGTAGATATTTATATATTATACATACATGTGTGTGGATGTCATGTTTTCGACACTTTTATCTGTGTCATAAATAGGACCCCCGTATCTGTGTCTATATAACATAGATGCTGAGCCATAAGGAAACCAAGACACTCATGAGTGGAGCGGAACAAGAGGAACCAATATGCTTTTCAGTTGGCTAGGAGGAAACCAATGCACTCCAATGCAGTGGAATGATGGCCTATGAGGGTTAGTGCCTAAAAGCCCCAACACAGTAGGAACACAGTATCCTACACAACATACACACATGATAGTTACATTCGACCAAAGATTGGTCAAAGGCCTAGATGGGTCTTCGTGTGCATGTTGTTAATCATAATTGGTCATAGGTATGTTGGTTTTGTTATACACTATTGTAACTTATTCTAGTTGTAAAGGATAAATATGTAATTTTTGAATTTATTTGGACCCTTATCTAACTCTTAATTGTGCAACCCTTCTCTCAAAAATGAATTGGGCGTCATGTCATTCTTCTTGCGTTCTGTCTATCCATCTCAAACTCTATCACAATTTGTTTTTCACTTTCAAGTAGTCAATGTGATATTCTAACATGTTATTAAAGCTAAGTTCAACTATTAAGGTAAGTCACTGATCAAAGGTATCAAATTATCTCTTGTCTCTATTCTTTGTTAGTCATTATTTAGATTGATCATGTTATTGTCAATATTGATGTGAAACCTTAGATCTATCCCTTTTAATTTAGATTTCTAAAACTTTTTTAACCTTGAATCTTTTCTTCTCTTGAAATCTCTTCTTTACCCTAATTCTCTTCTTTACGTAAATCTCTTCTTTTCATATGCCACGAAAGCATGCATAAAAACCTAGATCTCTCTTACGTGA